GGGGGGGGGGGGGGGGACGCGACGGGAGATTTTCACTGCCTGAATTATCTCTGCAAGCAGTTACTTAGTCGTAGAGGCTATCAACACATCGGAACATCGAGAAACGATGGTGTCCAAGGCCTTGGTGTTCGGAGCATGCTTCGCGGGTAACGGTAAAAAGGATGGGCGGCGTGCCTCTCAACCAACGATGAGCAGCAGCAGTCACACGATTCGGAGGAAGCATCGACTGTGTGAGGTTAGATGCTCACCTCTGCCCTCTCTTTGGACCTGGTGAGCTCCATGCACTTCTCCATCGTGAACCCCGGCACCTACTCCGTTGGGGTTCCGGGTTGTAGGCGCGACAACATCAAAAGAGCAGCAGCAAGAGCGAGAGATTTGTCGGCAATACGTCGTGGAATATTGAAGGTATTAGTACAAATGCTATTGGTGGCATTGCTTTTCTGGTCTCCGTGCATGAGAGAGGCGCCCGAGGTTCGTCAGGTTGTGATGCCGCTTCTTGTCTGTTCAAGGGAGACCACACACCCTACACCTCTGCTTCCCGGAGCTGTTCTGTAGTGCGTCATCCCTGGAAACAGCAATCCACGACCCAACAAACAGGTTTCGAAGTCACGACAACGACCAAGACAGGTCTTGACTGCAGGTGGGACAACAACACGAGGCGGGCAACGCCGCCTCTCCGCAAAACCACCCGGAGATCAACAACAAGTTTATTAGATACCAGTGTGTATTTTTCTTGCGTATGGAGCGGTTTTGATTTATGGTTCTATGTGCTACCAACAGTTGTTTATGTGTACATCTTTCAAGTACGTTTGGGGACCAGTGTAGAAGGAAAACTACAAAGGTATGAGGTATGCTGTTTGCTGTTGTAAAAAGTACACCACTACACAGCGAAAGTACTCCCTTTTTTTCTATTGGCGGCCGGCCACTCACGTGCATCAGTTGGGCAATGAACGACGCAAGGTCCGCCGAAGGCGCGGGGCTCGCCGCCGGGGCGGCCTCCTCCCCGCCCCCGCCTCCACGCGCGTCCGTCGTCTTTGCGCTCTTCCTCGACCCTCCTCCTCCCTGCTTCCGTGCGGCCGAAAAAGGTTTCAATTGAAGCCAGAACCATCCTTCAGCACAGGGTACTTGAACGTTGCCAGGTGTATGTGCTCAGTCTAACGGGCTGCTGCTGATTTCACCGTTGTAGGCATATGTAGCAAAAAGCAATATCGGTACGACTCGTTAGCCTAATCACGCGTTACCTTTCTAACCCCCTCTCTCCTCCCTCCCTTCTTCCCGCCCCGCTGCTTCCACCGCTCGGCTCCCCTGCTTGCCGCTCACTCACCTCCCCCGCTTCCGCCTGGCGTTTCTGGACGCTACCACCGTCATCACCGTCACCGCCACGAGGGCTCTTCGAGCTACCATCGCTGCCGCTGCCGCTGTTACCGCCCCTAGTCCCCGCGCGCGCCGAGCTCTGGATCTGCTGCGCAGCAACGGCGGCCGCCTTTCTCGACGACCGCCGCTGCATCTCGGCCGGTATCGTCGCCACCGATTCCGGTGCGCCCTCGTCCCCGGCTGGCGCCGTGCTTCTCGAAGTCCGAGTCGCCCTTGCCGTGCCCGGAGCGGCGCCACTGCTGGGGTCCACCTCCTTCTTTCCTCCGTTCTCTGATGATACCTGCCGAACCACGGGCTGCGAGGTCGCGGTGCTGGGTTTGGCTGTGCCCTCGTTCTTGGTCTTGCCGGCGACGACGGCGGCACCGCCGTTTGCGTCGGCTACAACTCGGCTCTTGCAGCTGCTGCTACTGCTGCTGCTGCTGCTGCTGCTGCTGCAGTCGGTGCTGCTTCCGTCGCTGCTGGCAGTGTTCGCGCTCTCCTCGCAATTAGCCGTCTTACCGGGAGCGGAGGCGGCCGTAGTGGTGGCGCTTCCCGTGGAGCCCCCACCTACCCCCGGCCCCTTGCCTGCTTGCTTGCCGTCGCTTCCCGAAGCAACGCCGACTGCTTTCCCATCAGTACCCTCGCCGGACGCAGCCGGAACGCGGGCGGGGACGGCGGCCGGCGGTGGTGCTGAAACCCGAGCCGACGCCGCCGACGCCGCCGACGCCGTTGCTGCCACCGCCGCCTGTCGCGCTGCAACGCTTCCCATCACTGGTGCCGGCAACTGCGGCTGCGGCTGTGGCTGCGGCGGCGTCGAAGTCGGCGGGGCTCCTTCTCGGAGGGCTTCCATAATCGACACGGTTCGGTAGGCCTGGGCCTTCGACTGGGCGTGTTCCACCGCGGCGGCGTGCGCAGCCATCCTCGCCGCCGCCGCCACTTCCGCCTGCTGCGCGGGGGTCAGGACGTGCGGCGGGGGAGCCTCGGCCGCCGCCGCCGCCGCCGCCGCCGCGGCCGCCGCGGCCGCCGCTGCCGCCGTGCTCTCCCCCTCGGCGATCATGGCTGACGACGCCGCCGCCGTCGCCGCCGCCGCCGCTGATGATGATGATGAGGAAGTGGCGTTCTTCGTGAGCTTTTCTTTGGCTGCCGTGAGCGCCGCCTCTGCCGCTAGCTTCTTGGCGACCGCCCTCGCTGCTTCTTTCGCCCGTTGCTGCCGCTGGTTCTCCTGGACCTATCGGGGACCCCAGAAAACAGGTGAGAGAACCCGGGGAGATGGAGAAGGAAAATGTCTTCCGATTAATCTCAAGCAGAAAAGAAGGGTTCGGGGTCTTGGGCGAGCGTGTCTTGTGTCTGTAGCGAAAAACTACTACAGGGAAGAAGATGGAGGCGAAACAGGCGCTAGGGTGTACAAGGATGAGGTGCTCGCGTCGTTGCAACGCGCAACGGGATAGGAGACGCAATAACGATGCATGAGACACACGACCCGCCTCGCCTTTTTGATGGTGCTTCGCCGAGAGAACAGCGCTGAAGAGCGCCCGGGTTCTCCACAAAAACACCAGTAAAAGGGAGTGCGCTACTACTGCGCGGAGGCCATGACGCCAGTCTTTGCCGCGCGGAAATGAGTCGACCTTCAGAGAACGGCTTGCGGGTTTCAGAGATCAACGTGCAGCTTTTGGTAGCTCGAGAGGCCACGCCACTGCTGTCATCACCTCCACGGGCTTTTCACATATCAAGCGCAGGTCTCTGCTCTTATCTCAAGATGGCCGCGAGAGGTTCCGGCGCTTGGGAGGCGCTTGGGATTCTGTTCTACAAAGCGCCCGCCGATAAAAAACCGGCAACCGGTATTAGGAAAAATAAACGCTAACACCGAAAGACTACCCGTTCGAGATATAACCACGGTATATATACACATTCACCTGGAACAGCGCAAGGCACGTCGCCCGCCTCTGGGCCGCGGGGTCCATCACGACTGGGATCTCTCCGGAGGGGGACGCCGCCCGCCCTACCACCGCTGCGGGGCCCCCATCCCACCCCGGGGCGCTCTTCTCGCCTTTTCCACCGCCGCCGCCGCCGCCGCCGGTAGTGGTAGGCCCGCTGCTAGTGGCGGCGGAGGCGGCGGAGGCGGCGGCGGCGTCCATCCCGCCGCTGCTCGCCGGGGGAAAGGCTGGCTTGGGGGCGTGGGTTACGGTGGCGTGAGCCGCCATCGCCACCGCCGCGGCCGCAGCCGCAGCCGTGTTGAGCGGGACCACGGAGGACACTGTGGAGGCCGGGGGCACGGTTACCGCGGGCTTCTGCTCCTCCTGCTTCGGCTGCTGCTGCTGCTGCTGCTGCTGCTGCTGCGGCTGCGGCTGCAGCAGCGGCGGCGTAGCCTGCTGCACCTGGGGGGGGGGCGCCGTCGCCGCCGCCTGCTGGGGGGGGCAGGGTGATGGAGTCGTCTCTTGCTGGGCGCTGCGGAAGAGGAGGACGGACCCGTGGGACAGGCCGGCCTCTGCGACGGTCTTGTCTCCGCTGAAGCGGCGGACTTCCTCCGGGGTGATCTGCTCGAACACCTGTCCCGGCGTTGTTAATCGCGAGAACGGGTCTAGGATGTGATTTTCGAGGGTTCGTGTTGGGGGTGGTTCCGAGAATAAAGCAACTCAAACGTGGTTGTTGCTAAAATGTTCACTTTCCGGAGCGCTGAGAGGGGGGGGGGTACGAAAGATCATCGCGAGGGAGGGGCAGCATCGAGGGAGAGCAACGAACCGTGTTGACGATGTGGTAAAGAAGAAGATACTCGTTTGAGTCAGCCTCTGCACTACATACACGTGAAGAGCTGTTTGTAGCAGCTGCTGCTGTGACTGTTGTAGGGAGGGCGGGATGGTAGCTGAACGGATGGCGGAAAAAAAAATAAAAAAGGAAAGCGGAGGGGCAAGGCTCCCCCTCCCCCCCCCCCCCCCCCCCCCCCCCCCCCCCCCCCACCCCCCNCCCCCCCCCGCGCGCGCGCGACAGCAAGAGCGTGCGAAGGCAACACCTCCTTAATCAAGGTCGAGCCTCCTGCTCCCCGCCACACACACCGTACGACAGCAATAATGTGCGCAGGCCAACATGTAAACATTCACCTCGAGCTTGAGGCCCTCCGGGAGGTGTGCGAGGCTCAACGCGATGGGCACAAGCTCGCAGCCCCGGTCGGTCCTGTGCGCCATGGCCTTCCCAACGAAGACGAACTCCGGCTCGTTGCTCCCGGAGACGACCGGCGGGTAGTGGATGGAGAGGGGCGGCTGGTCTTGCTTGGTTGCTGCGTGCGCCGCAAGTATCTTTCCGAGGAGAACGACAACGGGGGGGGGGGGGGGGGGGG